CAAGGCACAATATCCATAACGGGCACAGCGCAGATAGTTCACTGTGTAGCTTTGTTTAATAACAAACAAGTAAATTACGAATTTTTAAAATCTACTTCGTATGTTACTTCGAAACCGGTATATTTCAGTGACAAGTGCTGAATTGAATATGGACTGGGCTTTATTTTTATGTACTCCATTTTCGAAGATGATTCCTCCTTTCTTAATATAGATGGCGCTCTTAAAGATTAAACAGCGCGATTTATAGTTTTGTTCTAAAACGGTGGTAACATGTATGACTTGAAGGGAAAAAGCTGATAGATACATAATATCAATAATACGGCGTCGCATAATTCGAAATGGCATCAACGTCAAACATAACTATAAATGGAATTCAACTTTTGTTTCCTCATCAGCCATATAACGTTCAACATGAGTATATGTCTAAAGTCTTGGAATGTTTACACAAGGTACATACTTGTAACTTAAGTTGTAGTAACGTTATTAACAGTAACATTACTAAATTTTTGTAAATATTTATACTAATAATAGTTAGAGGTCTCACTAGCAGTTAGCGACAAGAATTATCAAGATGCTTATTTTACTTTTAGTAAAAAGTCACCGACGTGAGAGATTAGTAGCTTTAAGTTTAACTTTAAGACAGTCTAATTTACTAAAAACATCGAAATATTTGACATACTTTGGACAATAAAATTAAAACTGTTAGCACTAGCAGAATAAGGACCGCCCCAATAAATACCATCAATAAAAAATTTAAAAAGCGAACATCCCATTGTTTCGACAGCCATTATTAAAAGTTTTTTTTTATAAAATTAAAAAGTATAACAATAATAAATAAACAAAAGGTACAAAGATTGGTAGGCTATATAAATACATAATAAACTGCATCAGTTAGAAACATATTCTACACTAGTAATACTAATAGAACAGTAAGATCATAAAATAGGTGTATACCACTTTTTCTTAGTTCCTGGTCCATTCTGATATTTTTCTGGAACAATTTAAACTAAATTAAACCTAGACTTGATAATTTTTTTAAACATTTTACAAATTCCTTAAAGGAATGTATGGTAGTATGGCATTATACTTGTTCATGAAAGGTAATATGGTCTTGCAAGGACAGGTCCTTTTCATTAGGGAGTAGGTTTGTGAAACATTCTGAATGTATAATATGACCAGACATTATTCGTATAGAAGAATAGCTAAATGTAATAACTTTTTTTCCATAGAATACAGTAACTGAACACATTTGTTGGTAGATTATAATCTTCAGTAGGTTAGATGCAGATATTCTTAGTTAGTACAATTGTATTTAGTGAATTAAATAATGTATATGCACATACATAAATTACATATGTAGTTCATAAGTTATACTTATCAAACTCTGAAGCTATAAATTTTATTACAGAATAGAAATGAAGAAAAAAAGCAACAACTGTGAAATCAACAATGGTGGCACTGAAATTGAGCCATTTGGTAACAATGTCCAGCATTATTGCCATATGTAGGCATCTTAAAGAAATATTGACAAATAAATCTTTTTTTTTTCCAAAATGAACAACAAAGTCAGAAAATGATGATAGGTGTCACAACAAAGATTATTCAATTTGAAATTAATAGGAACACATACACTTGTTATAAATATTGCTCTACTTTAACTGTATGGGTGTATGTTTGTCCCTCTCAGCAATGACTATATATAACCTTCTTTGTTTACTCTTGAAATTGTTATATTAACCACATGTGAGTTTAGAATTTTGTAACAGCAACTGAGCATGAAGAAAGTGCATTTCGTTTCACATTTTTTAAAGTTTACCAGTTTTCAGTAAGTACAGGGTTCAAAATTAATGTTGACAATCTAGCAAACTGCTTGTTAGCGTTGCAGTTTTGCAATGAAACTTAGGTGGCACTGGTGGAAATTTCAGAAGGAAGATTTGTATATTCTTACTGTGGAATATCAATACATCTATGATACATGCTATTAAAGAGTGAACAGATTTGAAAGCTGAGCTCTTGAAATTGTGGGATATAAGTTTTAGCATGGTAGGAGTTATCTTCAGCTAAGTCAGTTTTACTTTTCTGACAGAGTAATTAGGCTTTGGAATGGGTAGCTTTCAGATATGATGAATTCAGTAGATTTAAGAGAGTTTAAGAGAAGAATTGATAAATATTTAAATGATAAGGGCTGATTTAGAAGTTATTTTACTTATTTGCTTACTTTTATTTATTATTCTATTAGTTTAGTTTAGTGGATCACACGGCCTTGATGGACTAACGGGCCCGTTGTGTTCTTAAATGTTATGCTATTTCAATAAATTATGGTAGTGAAGTTACTGTGACTTACTAACATGTATGTTGTTTGCTTAACTGGTTTTGATGTTTTTACACATGCATTAATAAATAAATAAATATATATATATATATGCACAGTACACAGGGATCTTGCTATGGTGGTCAGTACTAGGCATTACTACCAAAATTTTCTCATCACCCATGATCAGAGCTAGCACTTAAAATAGTGATTTGACAAACTAATTTGGTTTTATAGCAAGAATGGCCAACAATCCAGGGCTATGTGTGCATGCTTCTTCATATATGTGTTACTAGCTGAGTTACCCGGGGTTGCACAGTGAAAATCTAGATTTGAAATGTATAGATCAGTATTTTTTCAGCAAATTATTCAGTAAGTAGACAAAAGCTGTGATCCGAGAAATAAAAACATTTAATCAAACAAAGCTTTATTTGAAATTAGATCATGTTTGAGCTTGTTTTGTTGTTTGAGCCTGAAGTCATACATCATGTTGCTCCTCTGTTTCTTGCTCTCTGTAAGTTATTTGTCTTAATTTTTGTGCTTGAAGTCTGGTTTGATGCTGTTCAGAAGTTTCTGGTTGTATATATCCAGCTTACCTTGATGATTCTGACTGAACTATGGCATTGTGCTGTTCAACAGTTTCTTGCTGTCTTTGAGTAGCCTGCCTTTCAGCTTGAGCTCAAAGTCTAACTTTACATTGTTCCAAAGTCTCTTCCTGTATTTGAACAGCCTGTCTTTCAGCTTGTGCTTGAAGTCTTTGATTGCATTCTTTTTCTGTTTCAGCAGCTCTTTGTCCTTGCATTCTTTTAGTGGCAGAAGACTTTCCATAGAAAGGGCGTTTCATGGGTGGCATAATCACCTGTATCACTAAACAATAATTTGCAATTCACAAAGTTACTAAATCACTTATGAAACCACTTAGCACTATTTAAAGAAAGCTGTTTTTGGAAATACTGAATTGACAGCAAGGTGATCTGAGTGTCTCCCGTCATAATGCTTTCTATGTGAAAAATATGCTTATGTTTGTATATTTATTACAAAACAAAATGGCGAAATAATCATTAATTGTCAATTTCCTCATTAAATACTACACCAAATACAAAATAAATAGTACCATTAAATTTCTTGTAAGAAAACCGTTTGGTTTCCTATAGCGAACAAAATAAACAGATAAAAAATTTTCTGTTTTATATATATAGAAAGGTTTGTATTCCTTTATCAAAATAGCTTCCTTTCTTTTACATTTATTTACATTAGGTTCTCAACAAATAACTTTAACAATTTTATTTTCACTACAGTGTTCTGTATCTTTAAAACATTAGTAGACTTGTGATGGAGCATGTCCATGTTCTGCTATTCTAGTAGTTAAATTCCTGTCAGTTTCTTCTAAGTGGAGGTTATTACAGTCCATACATTCTACACTATTAAAATACTACTTTCTCAAATGTAATTGGTTTAATTCTATTTTTTAGGATTGTATTCAACTTTTTTCCTGGTAAAAAAAAAGTTGCCTGCAATTGGAAGTTTATATATCCTTTCTATTTGTTTCCAGTCTTTTTATCATATTTGATAGGCCAGGTACATGTGGAATTACACAATAAACCAAATCACCTGAATAACTTTTCTTTTTTTTCTGTCAACCTATCAGCTCTTAAGTAGTTTCTAACCACAATAATAGGATAATTATTCATCTTCACCAATACATTTTCAAGATAATGTACTTCCTCATCCACCTCTTCTTTTGAACTGCAATTAATTTTTGCTATAGCTAAGAAAGTTTTTATAATCTCTCTGTTTTGAGACTTGTGATGAACTGTTGACCAATTCAAGTAAAGATCAGTATATGCTTCCTTCCTAAAGACTTTCATTTTAAAAGCATTATTAACTCTACTGACCATGATATTAAGAAAGAATAACTCATTCTCATTCTCCTGAGGAAATTTAATATTTGGATGTAATGAATTTAAAAATACTAAAAAATGTTCAAGTATTTGTCCAGAAAATATATAATCAAAATATCTGACAAAAAAACATAACCTACAATTAACCATACTTTAACTTGTTCATAATAAAACATGTTCATAAAATATTAGCTAGAACAGGTGCTAATAGACTGCCCATAATAACTTTATAATCACATTAATTAATTGTAATTAAATTGAATGTAGTTTGTGTTGTTGTAAAGATAAATATTAATTTTAAAATTTCTGAAGAAAATTGTATTCTTGGATTTTCATCTTGAATAAAGCAAGAAAGAGCCACAAACAATAAATTCATTGATTGTAAATAATGAAACAACATCAAACTAACTAAAAACTATAAGGATTGAATGTACCCAATAACTTAGTAAAATGTTCTGTGTTTTTTATAACACATTCTCCCTGTAATGCATAAGGTCCCAATATCCAGGGTAAACATTTACCCAGTTTATAATTAGGTGCTCCTCTGGTTGATACAGTAGGTCGGAAAGATGCATCTTTACGTATGGTAGACAACCTGTAAATGTCAGGTGTTTTTGAATCATTAGATCTCAAAATATTATAAAGAGAATCATTTAATAAGTTTCTTTTCTTTAAATCTAATAAACATTGGTTTAGTTTTTTTCTATGTTTTAGTCAGGTTGTTAGTTAAAAGTTTATAATTCTCTTGATCACTCAATAATTGACTCATTTTACTCAAATACATAATCACAATAATTCATTACTACAACAGCATTACCTTTGTAAGTTTTTGTTAATTTTGATATGGAATCATTGTTTGCTAATATACTCCTAAAAAAACTTTATCTTTGCACCAGTTTTTGTTACAGGGATGAGAATTCTAATATATTTCCAAAGGATGTTTTTAGGATTTAATTGAATTAGCCACCAAAAAAAACAAATTCCATGTTTAATGGTGAAACATGTGATCAAGTAGATGGAGTAGTATGAGTTCCATGCTAGTGTCAGTGTTAAACAATTTGTTTTTATGTCATTATGAAACATAATGGTTGGAAGAATGGCTTAAGGAACTTAAGCCATTTTACTATAGAATATTCATCATTTTTTAATCTAGACTATTTGAATAGAGGCTACTAAACATAATGAGAATTATTTTACAATAGAACGTGAGGGGAATTGTAAGTTTCCATTTTCTATACAATACATATCTCCCCTCACACAAAAGCTTTCCCGATCTTCATCTGCCCTCTGTTGCATTAAAAAAAAATTATTCTCACTTGACTCACCAGCCTTTATACCCCCTCAGTTCAAACTGCTTGTTTAGCATGCATAGCGCATGTGACGACCCTCCACCAATAGGAGCATGGCACACACTCCAGGAGCAGGTGGTTCCCTCTGTGTTACATTTGATGTACCACACTTTCTCAATTGGCACTTTTTGAGTCAGACATGTTTCTCACTTAATTTCAGTTTTCAATACTGACTATACATGATTTTTTTTTTTATTATTATGTGTGTGCTTTCATTCTATCTTGCATTATCTCATGATACAAATTTTTATTCTCTGGTCCACAAACGTTATGGTGTTTTTTGTATTTCCTATTATTTCTGATGATTCCCAACACGGTTACTGCTGTTTCTGGGAACACAGTTATTTTACTTACCCAGGCCATGGGATCGATGATGTCTACCGAGGGGATATGCTTTTTAGTTTGTCAAGTGTTCACTTCCTTCATTTATCTTGGACCTTCTTTTCCATCACTTTTGAAGCATATTCCAGTTTTTCTGTATGTTCGAGACACTGGTGATTTCGACAGTTTTATTTTTCTTGATCCAGTTGCCATACTGCCAAGTCTTTCAATTTGGTGGAGGTTTGTTCTTCTTGTCCTTTCCACCTATTATTCCTAGCTCCCCCAGTGGTTTGATGGTAACTTGTATGCTACAAATCAAGTTGCTATACCCATGGTAGGCACAGCTCAGGTGCCTGTTGTGTGGCTTTGTCCTTATTTCCATACTTTAGGAGTTAGTATTTCACATCATCAGTGTTCTGACTTTGGTAAGTAGGATATTTCTATGTACTTTGTTGTCTACATCTTTTTTGATGGATTGTTGATTAGATATTAGTTGATAGTTTGTTTTCTTGGTATATTTTGACAGTTTGGAAGTTCAATATTATAAATTTCTTTGTTGACTAGATACATTTCCATGGTTTTTATGGTTTTATTTTATGATACTTTATGGTTATCTCTGTAATAGTAATTTAATTCTAATCATTATAAATAGTATTCATTGTCAATCAATAAACAAATAGTAATTTAATTATCATAGTAATTTATGGTTATCTCTGAATCATTCTATTTTTTAATCATTGTTCAATATATTACTTATAATCCTCATCGTAGTAAGTGTCAGACATATTTTTATTATTTGCATTTTATTTTCTTTATTTGTTTTTTGTAGGGCTGAGCTTTGCTTTTGCTCCAATTCCTCTTTTTTCTTTTCTTTTGATACTAAACACCAATTTTTCTCCACCTAATCTACATTTCGGGATTTGTTCCCTCAGTCCCCTTGTCGTAGTTATTTCTTCCTCACTAGCAGTTAGTTAATACTCATATTATTCTGTTGTTTTCTACTCCCCCTTCAAATGCTTTGTGGCAATTTCAAAAACACAGCAGTTTTTTGTATTCTAATGTTAATGTTGTTTTCCTAGGTTCCTGAACTTTGTTTTTATCTCACTTGGGTTTGAGGGTTCGTGTGTCCCACCCCCCTGGAATTTCTATCTACATGCTTCTGCCTTTCAGGGTGTGGCTGTCCTCATTGGCACTTACCTACTTCCCTGTCTTACTTGGTGTCGGGTTTTGTTGTGATGAGACATGCTAATTGGAAGGGTGTCTCTCCACGTCTTCCCTCTGGGAATTCAAACTGGCTCCGTTTTTGCATACTACAGTGTTTGGGGCCTGTTTTACTTCTTTCAGGTTCTGTATCAATATGGCCATCTTGCTTACTTCCATTTTGTCTTTTACTTGCACCTTGACATTCTCACTCCTTTTTCCTTTTTCCTGTGCACTTCTTGGATGTCAACAGCGATATCGTTTCTCCATGGTGGAATTTTCTCGACTTTTGGAAGACCTTCACTTCTGTTCTGTGGGTTCTACAGAGTGTGGATCTATCACTACCAGTGTCTATCTCCTTGATTATTTTCTACCATTCTTTTCCTTCCTTCCTTCTAGGGATCCTGTCATATGCAATTGGTTGCCCACTGTCAGATGACACCTTACCAGGAACTATAGTGCTATTTTTTACAGTTCAGCCACGTTTTTACCTTTCAGTCTTTAGTTGTCCCCTCCTTGGATGAGGTATGGATGCTCGTCATTGACCTCTTTTGTCTTCTTCAGCCTCTGTTTCCTCTTTGTTCCACCAGGGTGTTGTTTCTGTCCCTTCATTGAGTTTTCACACCTTGTGTGTGGGAGTCCTTGTTCAATTTAGTAGTTGCATCCCTTCCTGTATTCTTTCAGTTACCCAAGTGCAGGGGGGGAGGGGGTATTTTTCTGTTCTGGGCTCTTCTGTTTGGGTTTCCCATGGATCCTTTCTGTGTTTTCATGAGTAGTCACAAACATCACTGAACATCTACCAGTGTTAATCATCCAGTCTCATCTTTCTCGGGACAACTTGTTTATGGTTTATTCCTGTCTTCAGTCCAAATCAGTTTGTTTCTGCAGGAGGCAGATTGTGTGGTTTGGTTCTTTGATACAAGGGATTTTCTCTTTTCCCTGTTTTTGGTTCTTGTGGGGTATTTTATTCACTTCCCAACATCAGTTCGACCCTTCATTCTCCACTTGGTATTTGGGATATGGAGCATTTAGCCTTCAAGACCCTTTCTTTCCTGGCTACCAAGGTTCTATATCTTTTGGGGCTTTGGGCTTCATTAGTTGCTCTCATACCCTTCTGTGGCACTTGCACATTACCTTTGATGGATATTCCTCAACTGATGGTACCTGTTCTGGGATCCTTTGATTTATCTGGTTATATTTCATTCTTTCCTGGAACAATAATCTAGGAGGTCTGATGTGGGAGAGAGTTGGACCAGTTAACATTGGGTTCTCCTCTTTATATTGAGTTCAAGTTCATAGTGCCCCATTCCTATGGCGAGGCCGGTAGTTGCCCCCTGTCTCTGTAAATCTGGTTACAGGATGAATTTTCCCTGCTCCTACGGTTGAGCTCAGGGGACTTCATTTGCCTCATAATACCAGTTGCCAAAGGTTCCTACAGTTAGGCAAATGTTCCACATCCTACTTGTAATTCCAGGTGCATGTGGTTTTCTTCCCTGCTCTTACCTTGTTTTTATTTCCTGCTCATAATACCAGCTACAGGAGATATCCTTGAGTTGAGATTCACACACTGCTCCATAATTCTGGTTTCAGTTTGGTATACTTCTTGCCTCGCATGGTTGATGTGGAAGTTTGTCTGGTGATAGCTGTTTGCTTACTTCCTCATTGTATTTCCAATTGTTTGCAGTATGGCACTCTGTTTACTTGTGTCTGTCTATTGTTCACAGTATGCTCATTCTGTCCATGTTACATTGTATAAACTCTATTGATACTTCAGCATTGTCCTCCACCTCATAATACCAAGGACAGGACATAGAACCTTGTCTGTCCAGTTGGGGTTGGGGAGAGACTTGCTCCAATATTTTTTGAGGCCTTTCATTATTGGTTTGGTACTCGATGCTGACTGTTTCATGACACCCATCTTCCAGGGTGAAGGGCATACCTGTTCCAGAAGTGGGGCAGTCCCCCATCATATGTACTTTCATTCAATTACTGAGCACACCTGGTCGATTCCCTGTGTATGCTTTCCATAGAGAGTCTCTTATTTCTATGTTACACAGGTCCCTCCACCTAATTAATGTTGGATTATAGCTTTTATATGACAGGAGGTATTTACCATATCGGAAGTTATCATTTTCCTACACTAAAAATAGATTTATTATAGATACTTTACCTCCTCTCACACACTTCCCACTCTTCATCCTCACTTCTGGTGTTTTTCTATTGTCTGGTATGCCTGATCTTGAAAGTGAGGAACACAAAATGTAAGCTAGAGGGAGCCAGCTGCTCCAGGAGTGTGTGTCATGCTCCTGTTGGTGCATCCTAAATGAGCAACTTGAATTGAGGGAATATAAAGGCAAGAGTCAAGCGAGAATACATTTTTTTTATGTGTTAGAGGGCAGATGAAGATCAGGAAAAGCTTTTATATGAGTGTAGGAAAATATATACAGGTTTCAATGTAAAGTTTTTTACAAAAAATGTTTACTGGCCTATATTCCCATTACAATGGTTTCATTTCAGATTTATCTAATGAGGGAATTTAATTAAAATTTCAGTTATCAGGGCAATTAAAATTTTTAGTAATTTTTCATTTCTATCAGTTGAATTTTAGAACATTAAAACATATTTAGCTAAAACTGATTTCTTGCCCAAAATTATTGATAAAGACATTAACCCCCTGACGACAACCTATTGTAAGTAGGTTCATAACTGTTGTGTAAGTTCTTTACAAAAATGAAACCAGAGAATGAAAATGTTTTAAATTTGACATGAAAAGTCCTAATAGTTTGTAGTTTCTGAAAAATAAGATATTTAATTTTGATTTTTTCTACTATTTATGATAAAACATTCGTTACTTGAGGTAGTTATTTGGACTCAGACTCTGAATAGTTCACATGCAATGTGATTTTTATTTTGAGTATTAAAATACTATTTCTTATCTTACAGTTTTCACATTTCATTTGCATAATCTTTAGAACATTAAATTTTTTTTTCCATTTTCTCTACTATATCACTAACTCTAGTTGTTATCATCAATGTACAGTGCAATGAAATGCTTAAAATTAAGAAATGGAAATATGTACATACCTTTTAGCTCTTCATAGAAGTCTTTTGAGACTTGTTTTTAATATACATAATTTAACTTCTTTATCTTTTCACTTGTAGTTTATTTTTAATTTTCCTCTTCCAAAATCTTTGTCTTTCATTCTTGATGCTGGCACACCAACATGTAGCTGCAGTGCTCTATTGTTATTATATGGCAAATCTCGTGCACAAGTTCTTTCACTTAGGCTCGCATACGCGAATGGCAGAATCTTGCTTAAACATTCTCACAAGTCAAGTTATCATAAGTTAAACATGTAAAAATCATAAACCTTTCAAATATGCATTTTAAAACACAAATAATACATAATTAATTAAGATATTAACATAAAATCTAAATGCAATCTAACTCTAGCAAACTAATACATATAAGGCAAGAAACACTTGCCAAGCACTACATACCCCTCAAGAGAACAATGGACTAAGCTTCTTTTCTGTGTCATACTGCAGATTCACACACTCTTAGAGGTTTCTTCAGGCTATAACGTAATAGTGGAAAATCTGCTCTTTCTATAGGTTATAAGCATGCCATTCAACTTCAACCTTTAGCTGAGCAACACAGCTTTGATTTTGCAATGGGCATGGTTGATTTTAAACTTAGAAATATTTAGAACGTTTCACATGAGGAGTAATTCTTGAAAGGTCTCCAGAAGGTAATGAAATACATCTGGAAGTGTACTTTGACCATTTGAGCCAAGAGTCTATATTAACTACTCACAGTTTCTTGTATAAGAGCTCTTAAAGTTGAGAATTGTAACTGCAAGTGGATCACATGACAGCAAAAACTGCAGTTTTAATTGCAGTTTTTAGATGTTTCTTTTTAAAATAAAGAAATAAAACTAGATGATATAAACTTTAAATTATAACTTACATGATTATAATAATATCATTAAAATACGTTTATAGTAAAGTGGTTTAATTAAATTTTGAATGTAACTCAGGAACATGCACAAAGGGGAGTTAACAGAGTTTAAAATGATGTTGTTGCTATTGGGTTGTAACCAAAATATCATTATTCTTTATCTCCATATGTAGCAAAACTTTGAACCTAATAGAGCAATGATCACTTGCACCCTGATTTTCCCCAATTTCCACCCTCTCAATCATTTCTATATTTGAAGTTAACAATAAGTCTAAAATAGCATTGTTTTAGTTGGTTCCTTGACTAACTGGT